GCCCCGCAGAATGGTTCCATCAGCCATCGCGCTGCTCTGAGAGGCTCTCAGTGCTGAGTCGCCCTGTCTGTCCACCTCATGTGGGTGGGCAGAGCTGTGCACCATGCCAGCGGCTCCTGACCATTCTGGACTGGGAGGAGGGGTAACTCTAGTAGCTGTGGGTTTTCTCAAGACTCGGGAGTAGAGTAGAGAGAGGCCCCTAGCCCTTCCCCTGTGCTGCCCTTCAATAGCCAGTCAGCAGCCCCTTCAGGAAGCCGAGTGGAAACCTGCCCCCAGCCAGGTGCTCTTGGAAAAGGCCTACGGCTGAAGGCTCTTGTGGTTGGGCCTGTTCTCTTCATGGAGCTTTTGCTTTTCCCCAGCCGTTTCTTTATCAGCTGCTGCTGTGTGGACTTGGATCAGGTCTCCAGATGTGTGTAGATCTTCTCTTTGGGTTAGATTTGGTAGGATTAAGTTTTGTTCCCTCTTTTTGGAAGACAGACCATAATCCCATTAGTGGGTGAAATCGACTCTAATATGTATTGCCCTTTAGACTGAGGGTTAAATTGGGCACCTTGAGGACTGAGGCCCAGCCCCGCGCTTCCTGGGGATGCTGGGCCCGGCAGCAACCACACCTCGCTCTGTCGTTGACTTCACCGATCCCAGGTTTCCTGCTTAAAACTGTAGGCCTGCTATTGGCCTGACGCCCATCGATCCTTGAGGCTGTGCCCCCTGGGGCGTGCATATGGCAGGGCCTCCCACCATGCGACTGAGCTCCCTGTTGGCTCTGCTGCGGCCAGCACTGCCCCTCATCCTAGGGCTGTCTCTGGGATGCAGCCTGAGCCTCTTGCGGGTTTCCTGGATCCAGGGTGAGGGAGAAGATCCTTGTGTGGAAGCTGTGGGGAACCCGGGAGTGCCACATGATCCAGACTCAAGAACTGGACTCGATCAAAGTGATGAAGACTTCAAACCCCGGATTGTCCCCTACTACCGGGATCCCAACAAGCCCTACAAGAAGGTGCTCAGGTGAGAGCTGTGTGTGTCCATGGTCCCCAGACCCCACTGCCACGCCGCTCGAAGGCCTTGCCTCTGCCTTCCCTGATAGTCCGTGTTGGGCTCCTAGAGCAGTTCTTTGCCTTATTACCCATCACGGTCTGTTCCTATTTTTCACTTCTCAGATTTGAGACCGTCTCCCCCGTGGGTGTTAAGTTGGTGTGGATGTTCTTCGGCAGGGCAGGAAATGCATCTGACCATCTAATCATCTAACCCATCCGTAGGAGACCCCTCCCCAAACGAGTTCCAGAGTCCGTGGGTGCTCGCTGTCGCAGCTCATTCATATCGATGAGGAGGTCCCTCCTCTTCATTCCCAGAGCGACGTCTGTGCTGGACAGACTGGGCCCCTAAAGCTTAAGGAGTTGACCCTTGGCGTGTTGGTCCCTCCGCAGGACTCGGTATATCCAGACAGAGCTGGGCTCTCGGGAGCGGTTGCTGGTGGCTGTCCTGACCTCCAGGGCTACCCTGTCCACTCTGGCTGTGGCTGTCAACCGCACGGTGGCCCACCACTTTCCTCGATTACTGTACTTCACGGGGCAGCGAGGGGCGCGGACTCCTGCAGGAATGCAGGTGGTCTCCCACGGGGACGAACGGCCAGCCTGGCTCATGTCAGAGACCCTGCGCCACCTCCACACGCACTTTGGGGCCGACTACGACTGGTTCTTCATCATGCAGGATGACACGTATGTACAGGCCCCCCGCCTGGCCGCCCTCGCTGGCCACCTCAGCATCAACCAAGACCTGTACTTGGGCCGAGCCGAGGAGTTTATTGGCGCAGGCGAGCAGGCCCGGTACTGCCACGGGGGCTTCGGCTACCTGTTGTCACGGAGTCTCCTGCTTCGACTGCGGCCACATTTGGACGGCTGCCGAGGAGACATCCTCAGTGCCCGTCCTGATGAGTGGCTTGGCCGCTGCCTCATCGACTCTCTGGGCATCGGCTGTGTCTCGCAACACCAGGTGACAGCCCGTTCAAGTCAATCTCGGTCCCCAACAATTCGTAGCGCCTGAGCAGTTGGTCTCCAGGGTGGGTGCTGTTGGCTCCTCCCAGCAGCAACTTGGGGTTTTGTCCTTCCGAGCCGCTGACCCTAACTTGGAATCCTCAGGCTGTCAAAAGTGGCAATTTGTCAGGGACCCCCTGGGCAAGATAGGAAAGTGTCCCTACTCGCCAGCTCCTGCCAGCTGTCCCTCCCGCCCGTTGCCCCCTCCTCCTTATGACATGCACAGTCATAATTGATCTGGGAATGTCCTAGAGGTGGCCACTGCCCTGGAGAAGTAAGGTAAACCAGAGTAGTGGGAGCATTTTCTGGCTCATGGGTTTCATTCTCTTGAAACAGTGGGGTTCTTTGGGCAAAGAGGGCATCCTAATGGCCTACTTCACATTCTTTTTTTCCCACATCTGGTGAGAGGCCAAGTTTAAGGGGACCCCGGAGTGAGCTCCGGCTCTCCCCATTTCTGTGGCAGCAACAGGTGTGAATGCTAGTCTGGGTAAGGGTGGTGGGGACAGGCAGGGTGTGATTTTGATTGATCTGATTGGTCCCTTTAGGGGCAGCAGTACCGTTCCTTTGAACTGGCCAAAAATAGGGACCCCGAGAAGGAGGGGAGCTCGGCTTTCCTGAGTGCCTTCGCAGTGCACCCTGTCTCCGAGGGAACCCTCATGTACAGGCTTCACAAGCGCTTCAGCGCTCTGGAGCTGGAGCGGGCGTACAGCGAGATAGAGGAGCTGCAGGTGAGCCCCGGCCCGCTGCTGGCGGTCAAACGGAGCATCCCCTGTCTGGGTGCCCAGCCAGGGGGCGCCCAAGCGAGCTAAGAGGTGGGTGGGGTAGGAGGAGGCTGACCCTACCTCGGTGTACGCATCTCCAAGGAGAGGGGACCCAGGTCAACCATAAGAGAAGCTCCCAGCCCGACCTGGTTGCAGTGAAAAGGGTTTGCAGGCGCACTGTGAGGACGGGGGCTCAGTCCAGCGCTTAGACACGGCTGTTTTAGTGTCCCTCCACTGGAGAAGCAGAAGCCTGGAAGTCCCCGAATTTCTAGCACATGGAAGAACGCTCCAGGGGATCCTAGGGGCTGTGAGGCGGGGAAAGCAAGTGAAAGCGAAGGTTTGGTCTGAAGAGGGTGTTCTGCGGGTGTGGGAGAGCGAGGCTGCGGGGCTTCAACCTCCGCAAAAGCACATTTCCCCCTCTTCTCACACCGGCTGTGTGAGGTGCATGTGGTTCACATGCTTTCTGCATTTTACACGCAGGAACGGAAAAGGGACTAAGTGATTAGCCCAGGGGCACCTCGCTGCGTGTTGACAGAGTCAGGACCGAGCTCAGAACCCAGAACGCTAGAGCCGAGTCGGGCCCCGACTCCCCAGAGGGCACTAACTCTGCGTCCTCCCCATCCCCCCCAGGCTCAGATCCAGAACCTGACCGTGCTGACCCCCGAGGGCGAGGCAGGGCTGAGCTGGCCCATCGGGCTCCCAGCCCCTTTCACACCACACTCCCGATTTGAGGTGCTGGGCTGGGACTACTTCACAGAGCAGCACACCTTCTCCTGTGCAGACGGGTCCCCCAAGTGCCCACTGCAGGGGGCCAGCAGGGCCGATGTGGGCGACGCCGTGGAGACGGCTTTGGAGCAGCTGAACCGCCGCTACCAGCCCCGCCTGCGCTTCCAGAAGCAGCGGCTGCTCAACGGCTACCGGCGCTTCGACCCGGCGCGGGGCATGGAGTACACGCTGGACCTCCTGCTGGAAGCCGTGACGCAGCGCGGCCACCGGCGGGCCCTGGCCCGCAGGGTCAGCCTGCTGCGGCCGCTGAGCCGGGTGGAGATCCTGCCCATGCCCTATGTCACCGAGGCCACCCGCGTGCAGCTGGTGCTGCCGCTCCTGGCGGCCGAAGCCGCCGCGGCCCTGGCTTTCCTCGAGGCCTTTGCGGCCGGAGTCCTGGAGCCACGAGAGCACGCGCTGCTCACCCTGCTGCTGGTCTACGGACCTCGGGAAGGCGGCCGAGGGGCCCCAGACCCGTTCCTGGGGGTGAAGGCGGCGGCGGCTGAGTTAGAGCGGCGGTACCCGGGGACCAGGCTGGCCTGGCTCGCCGTGCGCGCAGAGGCCCCGTCCCAGGTGCGGCTCATGGACGTGGTCTCTAAGAAGCACCCCGTGGACACACTCTTCTTCCTCGCCACTGTGTGGACCAGGCCCGGGCCGGACGTCCTCAACCGCTGCAGAATGAACGCCATCGCGGGATGGCAGGCCTTCTTCCCGGTGCACTTCCAGGAGTTCAACCCTGCCCTGGCGCCACAGAGGCCTGCCCCAGGGCCCCCGGGCGCCGGCCCTGACCCCCCGTCCCCTCCTGGGGCCGACCCCGCCCGGGGCCCCTCCGTTGGAGGCAGGTTTGACCGGCAGGCGTCCGCGGAGGGCTGCTTCTACAATGCGGACTACCTGGCAGCCCGAGCCCGGCTGGCCGGGGAACTGGCAGGCCAGGAAGAGGAGGAAGCCCTGGAGGGGCTGGAGGTGATGGATGTGTTCCTCCGGTTCTCAGGGCTCCACCTCTTCCGGGCCGTGGAGCCAGGGCTGGTGCAGAAGTTCTCGCTGCGGGACTGCAGCCCACGGCTCAGCGAGGAGCTCTACCACCGCTGTCGGCTCAGCAGCCTGGAGGGGCTGGGGGCCCGGGCGCAGCTCGCCATGGCGCTGTTCGAGCCGGAGCAGGCCAACAGCACCTAGGGCGGCCCAGGCCTGCCCCTCCGCGCTTCCCCCTCCCGCCTCAGCCCCGGGAAGGGCGAGGCCAAACGGATGGACAGATGGAGAGCTTGTTGCTGTATTGTTTTTAATAAGAAAAAACGTTATTAAAAGTGTCTTCTGCCAAACTGTTTTTAGGTCTAGGAAAAACGGAGGAAAGAGAAGCATCGGAGGGAGAGGGTGGGGAATTTTCCCCGAGGGACCCACCGCCTTCCCCTGGTCCTTCCTCCCCAGTTGTCAATGACACACAAGGCCGCTCTCAGATGCATGACCTTTAATCGTTCCCCGCCTCACCCGGAGGGTGTCACGGGAGTGACAGCAGAGCCCCCCCGGGGGCCGGGCCGGAGGCCCACAGTGGCGCTCATTCACAGGGCTCCTAGGTGTTGCGTACAACCAGCGACTGCTCCAGCTCCTGCCTGCGCTGCTGGATCTTTAGAGAAATGAGAGCAGTAGCAGGGTCACACTGTTGCTGGTGAGTGCCAGGACAGTCCCCACCGCCCAGCCACCCTGGAAGAGCATCTGGGAACAGGGCTCCCAGGGAGGGCTCCGTGGTGAGGGGCTTGGTGGAGTGTCAAGGGCCACTGGCCCAGGCTGGGAAGGGAGGCTTCTCTTGGAGGGATGGGGGGTGGCGGTTGGGGGGTCTGAGGTCCAGGGGGCCCCTCTGCACCTTGCAGTAGAAATAGCGGCTGACGGCTTCCTGGGACCAGGGCTGGTGGTAAAACTCAGCCCGGCGCTCCTCCTCGGGGTTGCCTGCCACATCTGTCATCACCTGGGAGGGAGCAGCGGGGTCAGCCTCGAGCCTGGACCACCCACCCCCACCCTCACCCTCATATAACAACATTTACTGTCTTCCCAATATGCTTCTCTTCCATCCAGTGCTCCCTGAGTCCCCTTCACCTTGAGGTCCCGGCTCTGGGAGCGGAGCAGGTCTTGGATGTAGCCTTTGGGGTCTCTGGAGAAGCTTAGCATGAAGTCCCTCTGGATCTTGAGCTGGTTTATGGACTCAATCGTCTCATGGATCTACAGGTAGAAAGACAGACGCTTTCACCTGGCCATGGTGATGTGGGAGAGGAGGGGCAGGAGGACGGGGCCGTGGGGGAGAGGGATTTGCTGCTGTTCCTTTGAAGGACGGTCCCTTAGGTCCCTGATGTGGCTTCAGAGAGCTCCAAGGAGCGAGGGAAAGGCCACCTGCCCCCTTCTCTCCACAGGCCTGTACTCCCGTCTCTTGTCTGCATTTTGCCATTTCTGGGTTAATGTCCCACTCCAGCTCTGGGCTCTGGCCCCACCTTACTGTCCAGAGCGCTGATCTCCTGCTGGTTGGCCGTGGACAGGAGAAAGCTGCTCATCTGTCCCTTCAGTGGCTCCTCCACCTCCACGTCAATGTCGTAGCACGCCGTCTTCTTCTGGTCGGACGGGTCCACGCTGCCAGGGAAGTGCAGCCCTCGGTACCCGTGGCAGTTGCAGGGGTGGGGGGTGGGGGAAGAGGGAGGGCAGGACTGCCCTGACTCCCTGGTCTCGGGAGATAGCCGGGGCCTCACCTGATGACGTGGTTGATGACAATGGGGTCGGGGGGCAACAGCAGAGCTGTGAGGCGCTGGGGAATCTCTGAAAACTTGAGCCGCGGGCAATCAAAAATCTGACGTAGGAGAGAAAGAGAGACCAGTCTCATCTGCTTGAGACGAGTGCAACTACAGCCCTGATCCTTCCATTCTGGGACGGCCACAGGAGGCCAGGAGCAAGTCTAAGTCCTCATTGCTGCTGGAGTAGGGATGAGGGTGTCCGCAGGTGGTGGAGCGTGGAGATAGACGTGGGCTGGTGTGGTGCTGCGGTCGAAAGCGTCAGCCTGGGGTCTGTGGCCACCGAGGTGCAAATCCTGCCTCTTCCATTAACCTGGCAACCTCGAGCCAATCCCCTAAGCTCTCGGGCCTCGGCTTCTTCATGTCCAGAGTGGGGATGGTAATGACCAGGGAGGCTGGGAAAACTAAGTGGGTGAGCCCACACCGCCTGCAACAGAGCCTGGCACACGGCAAGCACTCAATAAACATCGACTTATTTTACACCTCAAGCTTATCTGCCGTGTTTGTTTAAAAAGCTTTACAAATAATAATCTCTACTTTGGTAGAGTCTGGATCCAGGACTGGAACCCAGGGATCCCAACTCCCAAGTGCCAAGAATATTATGTTCCCCAAACTGTTGGCCTTTTAAGGTTCCAGAACTTTCTAAACTGGCTTGGCTAAAAGGAACAGGCTGCGGCGTGGAGCAGTAGGGTAGGGTGTGCGCTAGCACCCAGGAATCTAGAAGTGGGGGTGGGGGAGTTGCCTTCATTGAGGCACTTCCCCTATTGGAACCTCTGCCCGCCCCCCACATCCCTGAGATCACGAGAGAGGGTACCTGCTGGAAGTATTTGTCCCCATTGATGTATTCCTTGTCATGTGAGTCCTGCAGCCTGTTGGTCTTCACGTACTGCCACAGGGCCTGCACGATGGCCGAGCGGCTCTGCGTGTGCAAGCCCAGCAGCCGAGCCAGGCGGGGGTCCAGTTTGAATTGGGGAGGCTGGGAAAAGACGGCCACGAAGATAAAAGAGAGGGGAGTGAGAAGAACTCAGGGCCAGGCAGCTGGGGACTGGGGGGAACGTGATAATTGGGCTCCTCGGAAACATGCTTCTAGAGAAGGTGAGGTAGGGAAGAGAATGGGGTCTCCCGGGTATACGCCCTTGAAGCCGAGGTCTACCCTAAGAGAAGGGGTGTGGGGCAGCATCTGGGGGAGGGGCACGGACCTGGTAATCCAGCATGAGGAGCAGTGTGCAGCGGACACTCAGGTCCCCCGGCCTCTTCACCTGGAACCCATCCGTCTCCTGGGTGGTGGGTGTCCGGTGCCACTGCCCAGGGGAGGAGAGCTGGGTCACCTCACAGGCCCATCATGGCTGCTGGGGCCAGGGGCTCTCAGGTGGTCCCTGATCCAGATCCGTGTGGTTGAGGGAACAGTTGTCTGTGGCAGAGTGGCTGTTGCCCGGGCAGAAGTTGGGTCTTACCTCAACGAGGTGGTTGTCGGGGCCATAAAGGTCTTTGTCCAGCTCAATGACCAAACTCTTGAAGAAGGAAGAGAACTTCCGCTTCTGCTTGCTGGGCTGTGGGAGAGGGACAGGGACCGTGGGGGCAGGACAGGGACCGTGGGGGCAGGATGAGCCGGGGGTGGGTGGGGCTGGTCGGGTAGGGCAGCATGGTTAGAAGCAGGCCTCTGCACCCGGACTGTCTCTTCAGGCCGCCCACCCCTCGCCGGGGCTGACTCCCTAACCCATGGTGCAAATATCTCTTTCTGTCCTCAGCTCAGCCCCATACCCACCCCAGGACACCTGGAGAGACCTGGGCCAGGACGTACGTCATCCAGAAGCTTCCCCTCCACCCGCAGCTCCCAGGAGGCAATGCTGCCATCAGAATCTTCAGCATCAGGCTTCGCAGGATTAAAAGTATTGGAGATATAAAGACGCAGCTTCCGCTTTTGCTGTAGAAATAAAGAGCGTAGTATAGAGCCCATACGGCCTGCTCCTGTTCCACGGGGCGATCCCACTGCCCCGTTCCCGGACCACGACCTAGACCCCTCTTCCTGTCCCCAAATCAAGACACCTTCATTGGCCTCTTCAGGGCCTCCTGGATGTCCACCCGCTTCCGCATGATGGTTTGATCCAGCTTCCTCTCAAAAGCCAGGAGGTCCATATAAGCCTGGGACTCCGGGACCAGCTCCCGGATCTGGAAGAGCAGGAGGAAGGCAGGGAACGAGGGGCTCAGCCAGTCTTGTAGGTGGAACGTGCATGTCAGGTGATCCCAGGATACAAAGAGTGTAGAGGGGTGCCGGCCCGGCTCCGGGCATGGAACTTTGAGTGCAAACGGGGACTCCTCCCCAGGACTGCATATCCAGCAGAAAGGACCTCAGCATATAGGGATAAAAAGCTGCTTCTCCCTCGAGAGAGAAGCATTTCATCACTAGGGGAGGCCGCAGCCACGGAGCCCAGCAAGTGGGACTTCACCTCATCTCGTCCTTGCCCTTGTCACATGGCCTCTGGACCTTCCTGGAGTGCCTGAGACAGAGGATGTTGCTGCTTCCCTCTCCACTGGCACCCACCTTGTCGCTCCACTGACATCTCAGCCGTGCTACCCCCTACGCCTCGCTGCACCTGGTTTCACTGATGATGTCCAGGCCTTCTGGCCGGCCTCAGTTCCCTTCACTCCCCTGCCAGCCTTTGGTCCCCTAGCTCTTGTGACCTCTTTGTCCCACACCTTTCTTTCTGTCTGTGGACTGCGGGAGCTCAGTCCACTGCACCCCGGGCCCAGGACCCTACCTCTTACGGCAGCTCTGCTCCTTCCCTCCGCCCCACCCCCTCCCTCTGGCCAGGGAGCCCCACTTCTTAATTAGCTTTTTAAACAAAAAGTGAAAGTGGCTGTGACGCTGAAGCTCTGCTCCTGATGGGGGAGGGGAAGCGGCCCAGGGCGGTGGGGTGGGGGGAGAGGAGGCAGAGCAGCACAGGGTGGGGGGAGGGCCGGGGGGCTGCTGTGAAAGGCACTCACCCTTTGAGGGAGGATTTTGTCAGCCATCTTCCTCCTCTTGGCACTGTACATTTTTTAAAGGAAAAACCAGGTTACCATGGCGACAGATCTGGGAGTAACGAGGCCACCTGCTAAATTATCCCGACATCTCCACCCGCCTGGCTGGGGTTCCCACAGCCCGCTCGTCTGCCCGCCCAAGGGGCTATGGCAGTGGTGTCTGGCATGGCGCTATGTCCTCTTGTGGGCAGCAGACGTGGCCCCGTCCTTTTCTCTAGCCCGGGTGCCCCTTTCCGCCCTACCACATCCTCAGGCCAGAGAAATTTAGACTTAGGAAGGGTTGGGGGAGAAGCTGCAAAAGTGTTTGAGAAAAGCTAGGGAGGGGCAAAACAGAGGAGAGGGAGGAGGGATTCTGAGGAGTCTCCCTTTCTGTTAAGCTGAGGTATATAGTCCAAGGTGGCTTGAGTTCAGAGGCAGAGGAGCAGACGCCCTCTCCCATCCCTGGACCAGGAGGTGATGGGTGAAGCTGGGGAGGTCTTGCAACCCTGGCACCATGGGCTTGGAAGAGGAGGCTGGCAGGCCCTCAGATCACCCTGCCAGCAGGGTCCAGAAACACACCCAGAGAGGTCCAGAGAGAGGCTTCTCCTGTGGGGTGTGACCGCAGGCTGGATTTGGGGTGACAGCTGGGACTTGGGACTCTTCTTGACCTGCTAGCTGCTTCTGATTCCCAAAAAACACCCCCAGAAAATCCATGGCAAATTGAGATTAAAACCCAGCCTGGAGGATGGCTCTGTACCATCCGTGTGTGGTGACAGCCACTGCCCCCTCCTGCCCAAGACCCTATTCTAAGGCCAGGTGAGCCCCTTTCATTAAAGGTCTGATTTGTTTTAAAGAAATTATCTATGTGAAACTCTCCATCTACACAAGACAGATCAGGAACTTGTTTACTGTATGAAAGGATGATTCACTTTGCAAAAGAATTCATCTTGGGAATCCTATAAATGGTGAATTTTCCTTGATGTGTAAAAAAATATTTAATAATGAGGTAAAATCCATATTACTCTTTTTATAGGACTCCATCTGGTGTGCAAAGAGAAGCATGTGTGTTTGGTTAAATAGTGAAACCCAGAGGGGCATCTCTCTTGCCAGACACCAGCAGGGGCTTTCGGGGTGTCACCAGCTGGCTCAGACAGGGGAATGGGCTGGCCTCTCCTGGCTGGGGGGGCAGACCTGGTCCCAAGGACAGATTATGGCAGCTCCCCATCCTCTGCGTGCCTAGGAATCGCCTGAGAGCAGGACTCTGCAGGAGACCACCCACCCACGGGGCAAATCCGCAGGCTCCACCCCCCTGACCAGAGAGTCAGACTGAGACTGTCTGGAGTGGGGCTTTTAAACAGTCAAGCCAGGGAACTGAGGACGGTGCACTGGACAGCCACACTTGGGGAAACCATCCCCAAAGCTCAGCCCTCAGTCCTACCGCCAGCCCCACCCCCACCCCAAAGACAGAAGCGTCTCCTAGAACCTGGGGACAAGGGCTGGAGAGAAGGAGGGGGCAGGTGACAAGGAGAAGGGCGCGACGGCCGCAGCTTCAGCCTCTACGGTGGGCACACAAAGGAACCAGACCGGTGCCCCCTCGGCCCACCTCCCCAGAGGGCATCCCACCCAGGACCGCTCGTTCCTTCTTCCTCGCTCCTTCCAGCCTCGCTCCTCACCCACCCCGTCCCTGGGGTCCCGTGGCCCGCCCCCTCCGCGCTGGGCCCCACTCACCTGCGGCTCCGCGCGGGGGCGGTGGGCACCGGCTGGCCCTGGCTCTGGGCCTGGCTCTGGCCGGGCGGGGGCGCTGCTCGCTTGCGGGCGGGCTCCATGCCCGCGGGGGCCAGGCCGGGTCGCACGGCGGGGCTGCCCATGTACGGGGAGCCCGGGGGGCCCATGGGCGCCCCCTGGTGGGGCATCCGGGCTCCAGACGGCATCCCGGGGCGCTGGGTGGGGGGGGGGGGACGAGGGCGGGGGCGGAGGTGAAGCAGAAACAGGCGCCCGCCGGTCAGACCAGGGCCCCGGTTCCAGGCGCGGTGAGCCGCGTCTCTCCCACCCCAAGCCCCCCGGCCGGTGACCCCGATGCCGCCAGCGTGAGCGAGGGGTGGGAGGGGCAGGGGCGCCGCAACCGCGCGGCTCCGCGGAGGGGGCTCTGCGTCTCGCTGCAGGAAGCTAACTGAAGCCAGGCAGCTGCACCGGGCATCGCCAGCCTCGGGTCTGCGGAAGGTACCGCGAAAATGAATATTAACGGCGCCTTTCAACCTTTTCAAAGGATGTTCACATCCCCAGGTTCCTCCGCAAGACCGACGGAGGGGGTCCTTCCCGCCCCACTTGACAGATGAGGCAACCGTGGCTCAAGGAGAAAAGCGACCTAGCCAAGGTCACGCAGCGCCTCCTGTCAGAGGCAGCACTGAACCGCCGTTTCCTGAGGGGCCCGGACCGTCTGCTCTCTGCAGCTTCACCTGGGTTAGAGGCCCCGCTCTCTGCTAGGAGGACTTCTTCCCCTCTTTCCACTCCTGCCTTCTCAAGTCCACTTCCTGGGCTGGCCTGGCCTGCGCTTGCCCTCCCCACCTTAACCTGCCCTTCTCTCTGGGCCCCTGCTTTTGACCCTTCAGCTCCAACCACACCCCCTCTGGCTGATGCCAAGCCTCCACACCCAGGGGTTTTGACGTCTTAGCGCCCACCCCCCCACACAATATGCCCTTAAGGTGAAGGCTGGAGGCAGCAGGAGCCAGTGAGGTCACACCCTACCAGGATTCCCTGACAGGACCAACCAGAGGCAGCTGGGCTGGAGGTGGGCTGCCCAGAGGCTTGGAGAGCTCAGAGGCAGCAGCATTTCCTCCTCCATCCATCTCTCCCTTCCTGTCCGCCTGCATTACCGGAGATGGTTCCATCCTACAGAACTCCTCCACCTCCCTCCCACCCTGCCCCAGCGAGGTAGGAAGTCAGGGCTCAAAGGGGTGCCATGGAGAGCGAGATGAGGCAGGTGTATTCCCTTGCCACCTCAGATGGGATGTAGATGAGATGCAAATTCATTGAGTGAAATGTTTCACAGACTTCCAAACCCCACTTGTCCAGATCCCAGAAGTGGGATTGGGGAAGGCCCCCGGAGGGGCTGTAAAGTGGAGGGTGGGTGTGAAGGGGACAAAGAGAGCAGGAAGGAGATTAGGGAGCAAGGGACACAGCCCCTGTGCCCCTTTTACCTTTTACAGGCTACCCACTTTGTCTCCCAGAGTGCAGATGGCCCCAGGCACACAGAGGAGCCCTGAGCGGGCGCTGGGTGAATTCCTTCTAACCGCCAACTCTCCCTCCAGTCGCTCTCGCCCTGCGCTAGGTCCCTAACTCCCAGTGGGCCAGCTGTCTCTGTCCATCTCTCCCACAGCAAAAACCACCCGTCCATGTGTCTGCCTCCCCCACCCCACCTGACCCTGTCACTCATATCTCCAGCGTGGTGGCCCAGCATGGAACCTAGGCCCCATTACAGTACAGACTGGGTATGGGGAGTGAAGCGGTGGGACTCACAACCACCCAAGAACTGGAGCTCTAAGTTGGCTAAATTATAAACCAACCAACCAACCCATGTGGATAGCCCCCTTTCTCCCCTGGATGAGCCTTTTTAAAGGGACTTCACCAAGCAGCATGGCTGGGCAGGCAACTTGGCTGACTGACAAGGGCACCCCTGGGAACTTGCCTCAGAAATCTCTGGGACTGGAGGACAAGCTGCCCCAGCGAAGCCCCTTTACCCAGTCAGCTGCTCTCCCATTTTTCAAGGCCATCAATAGTTGCTGATTTGCTGAAGGGGTCCCAAGAGAGAAGTTTCCAGAGCCCCCAGAAGGCTGTGCCAGCTACCTGGACCACCTCAACGAAGGACCAAGATTCTAGGCACTCGGGCCTCCCTCACTGAGAACGTGCCTTCTTTGGGGTCACGACCAAATTTGGCCGTAGTCAACTTGACTGCCTCCTCTGCACCCAGCTCCGAACCCAGTAGCCATTTCAAGTCCCACAGCCCCTGCCTCTCCCATTCCGCTGCCCTTCACGCCTCTCCCGGCCTGGCTCCTGCTGCCTCAGCCTGAGGTCCCATCCCCTCAGGTCACCCTGGGCTCCCTTAGGCTCCCTGTGGGCCTTCCAAGTCTGCTCCTGGCAGGAAGGGGCCACCCTGCCCCTTTGGCTCCTAGGCCTCACGTCCCTGACTCCAGGCCTTCCTTCACACCTTTGAGGATTTAAGGACATCAGCTTCTGGTGGCTGAGTTGGCCAAGGGGATCTTCAGACCCCTTCACTTGGGGCCTGTCCCTAGAGAGGGTCTCTCTCTGACCCTGCTGGCAGAGGCCATCAGCAAGCCCCAGAGCCCTCCTGCCAGGATGCTGAGGCTGTTCAAAGAGCTCCGGCTCGCAGGGTCACCTGCCCCTTGCTCCCGGAGACACAATCAGAGACACTGTCCCAGCGGATGAGCAGCTAACCCAGCCCACCCCGTGCCGTGTCCCCCACCCCCACCCCCAGGACAGGGGAACACCTGGGCCCACGAGGAAGAGAACAGAAGACAACACGTCTGGTACAGAGGGGACGCCCCCCTACACACACACACTTGGCGGGGGGACAGTCCCCAAGTCCCACCCCCAGCCCCTGACAAGGACCCCTGCAGACGCCTCCCGCTCCCCGCCCGGGCACCCATCCCCGGCCCGCCGCCCGACGACGTGTTCGGGTGCCAGGGCGCCGGCACCGTCCTGGGGCTGGGCCGCGGGCCGTGGCGCCCCTGCCAGAGGGTGGGAGAGCGGGAGCCCCCTCCCGGCCCCTCCCGATCATCCCTCCATTCAGCCCGCGCCAGCTCGCTCACCCTCCCCCGCTAACTTTCCCCCACTCACCACCCCATGGACCAGAAACTCAAAAAGTTTGCTTTTCGTGGCTTTGCGCGCCCCTCCGGCAACTTCGTCCGCGGCCATCGGGGTGGGCTCAGCGGCTCCTCTCACTCTCTCTCTCTCTTCCTCTTTCTTTCCCTTTTCTGCCTTTTTTTTCCCTCCAACTCTCCCCTCTGAGTCCTGCTGGGCTCTCTCACACTTCTACTCGAGCGGAGTGGGGAGGGGGCCCCTTCAGGGCTGCCCTGACGGCCCACGGCCCACGCCGCCGCCGCCCGCCCGCCGCCGCCGCCGCCGCCGCCGCCGCCGCCGCCGCCGCGGCTGCCGCATTCCTGCACTGATAAGACAGAAATAGTCCGGCGGCCCGGGGTCTGCCTGTTGACTCGGCGGGGACACAAACGCCTGCCTTTCCAGCCCTCGCTGTCCAAACAGCGCAGATAAGCGGCGAGGCTCGCCGGCAAGCCCGGCTCCGGGGCGCTGGGCAGCGGCGCTGCAGCCCGAGGCCGCCGGAGGGCCGCGGGGAGGCGGCGCGGGGAGGGGACGCGAGGGGAGGCGGCGGGGGGCTCGCCGGCCACCCGGGCTCTCGCCACAAATAGTTTCTCGGTTAGGGAATTCGCCGGCAGGGCCAGGCAGGGAACAGTCAGTTCCAACTGTCCCCCAAGTGGCTCCTGCCGCATTTCTGAGGCCCTTTCCCCTGAGACCGGGCAGGCCAAGTAGGGAAACATTCGCTGGAAGGAATCCGGGGGGAGCGAGCCCGGAGGAGGCCTTCCTCCTGCACCAGGCCGGCCGCGGTGGGTGTGCCTGGGGAGGCGGTGTCCCCTCGCGTCCGCAGATGTGTGCGCCCTTGTCTCGGCCGCCGTGTGGGTTTGCGCCCTTGTGTGGGCACGGCTCGGTGGCCGTGGGTGTGGGTGTTTGTGTGCGTGCACGGACAAACGCCTTCTCTGTGTGCCTCCCTCCACCGGAGCCCCGGTGCGAGTGCGCGCCGGCGAGTGCGTGTGTGGCAGGACACGGCCTGTGTGTGTCTTCCAGCTCCCTGTGAGTCTATTTCTGGGTATGGGAGTCTTTGTTTGTCTCTATGTGAGAAAGTGAGGGCAAGAGGGGAAGTATTTCGGAAAAGAGGCGTGGACCCGACTCCTGAGAACAGGAAGAGAAAATGTGAGGGAAGGCGAGGGGCTAGGGTGGGTGCCTGGGCGGATGGGCAGAGGCAGCGAGGCGGGCAGAGCCTCATGGCTTTGGAACGGGGCATGGGAGGGGTGTGGTAGGGGACCCAGAGGTGCTGGGGCTGCTGGGTACGGGAGGGCCAGCCTCCAGACTCCAAAGAAATCAGGGTTAAGTGTGGGTTTGTGAGGGAGCCCCAGAAGAGGCAGTGTGGAGGGAGCTGGCAGTCCCTGGGGTGAAGGAGGGACAGGAAACAGGAGGGGCAAATCCTGAGATCCCCAGGCTGGGAACCATAGCGCCACCCAGTCCCCCCCGCCCCCCGCACCCCAAGGCCACACCCCTCTCCTCTCTCCTCCTTCTGGAGGAAGAGCCCAAGGGCTTTGGGAAGAGGAGAGTGGGTCAAGTTTTACGTGCCTCCTGGGGTTTCGCTGTCGGCATCCGGGTGAGGGCGGGGCAATGCCTGGGGGAATTTGTTGGAAAACTTATTTGCAGTTACACCTTAAAGACCCAGAATTGCACTGGGGAACCCCTCCAGCATGCCTTCAGAGGGCAGACAAAGAACCAAGGCAGTGTTCTGCCCGGAGAGTCCTTTTGCCTACAGCCTGACTTCCTTGGGCCCTTGCTGTGCTGTCTCCATGCAGGTGGGTGCCCGCTCTCAGTCCTCCGCAAGGCCAGAGTGGCCCAGGATAACCCTCTTTTTCTGCTGGCTTAGCAAGGAACCCAGAGGTCCCCTTTCTACCAGATCTCTACCCAGCTTCCCCCCACATTTCCCCATGCAGAAACTGGGTCCTGGCAGGGTGGGAACGGGTGGGTGGCTGCCATAGGCCATGAAGGTGGCCACTGGTGACCTGGGGGAGGTTACCTCCAGTCTGTCTGCTAACCTCCAAAATCCCTCACTCATTCCCATGTCTAAGCCTCTGCTCCCACTATTCTTGTG